TGGTTGTGTTTACTTGGGCGTTAAATCTAGCCTTTATACTAAGGGTCGGTCGACCCCCTTGATCCAACTAGTTGAATTGTTTCAACAAGTGCTCGATTCAGCCCCTCCCTAGGCTCGCATTAATCTCTCAAAGTTGAGGGAGCTTTGACTTCATTCGTCGAAGCTTATGACTTTCTGTTGCCAGTGATGGAGCTGTTGTACCCTTCTAGAACTGAAAAGTCTTTGACTGCAGTCCGAGAAACATCTAGATCTCACTGTTGATTGCACCATCCCCCAAAACACCTGAGAATTTTTCATACTTGCCAGCATACATACATATCGATCCACCCTTATGGGGGTCCATTACTCAGCTGAGTTGAGTCTGTGTGTCATGTGTATGTTGTTGAATCCTTCCAAAGTAATCCAAGGTTGGCTCAACATGCTATGGAGTGAAGGTAACCTAAGCCTCCCCAAATGGCGATGGCCATGGTGGTGAGGTGTCGATCAAGATGCCCATAAATGCTCTCTGTTATGATTCTCCTATTTGAAATCGACGTCTTAGTCATATCATATTTTGTCATTATCAGGAATGGTCTTACCAATGTTGCTTTTCTGGTAAGGACACTTGTGATCTCGAGCTCTACTGAAGGAAAAATGATGATGTGCTTCCCCTCCTTGACGAAGGAGTAGGTGTTTCTAAATTTATCATGTTCAATTCTATGGTCAAATTAATACGGTCTCCCCAAAAAAGGTGGCAGACATCCATGGGCGCCACGTTGCACCGCAACTAATCTTGTAGCTGATTTCCAATCAAAAACTCTACTACACACCTCTAATCAATGTTGATCTTGTTCTCTTTCTTCAACCACATAAGAAAATATGATTGGGATTGTCTTTAAATCATGAGGCTCAATTTCTTCAGCATTTGCATAAACACCACTTTCTTGTTGCTCCCTCCATTGATGATGACACCATATACCTTTCCATTCACAATGCAGCTGGTGTAGAATATGTTGTGGCAAAGTCATAGTGGATCCCTTGTATCCTCTATCTGTAGGACTCGTCAAAACATGAGTATCTCGCCTTATCCAGTGAAAGATGTAATATGTCATTCTATTAAGGCATATCTGTGTAGATTGTCTTGTTTTAACAAATTTACATACTTTGCTTAAATTCAAACATAAAATTGTTGATTTTATTTATTAAGTAGGGTATTTATATACTCAATAAATCATTAGAAAATTTCTTTCATACCTTAGACTTAAAGTAAGTTGGAATGTTGGTCATATGAATGGCAGAAACCTAATGATTAAATTGAAAAAAGAAGAAGATTATTCTTTCCTTTTCTTAAGAAAGGTTTTGTTTGTAGGAAAAATAAGAAGATTATCTGCCTCCTTATTGTACCAAGTGCAAGATGTTTGGATACACTATTAAATACTACTTTATTGCTCATCTGAGTTAAGACAACCAAAAGGAACGCAAGTCATTGCTGTCAATTATAATCAGATACAAGATGTTGAACCTGGTGCGATCTTGAATGCAGGGGGTCTGGTGGAGAAATTGATGGATGCTAATGAGAGTATGGGTACAATGACAGTGGAAACTCTTGCAAGTTTTCCTAAATTTGTTACGAATAATCAAGAGAATGCTGATGAAATTGAGTCCTTGTTAGGAGACAAAGATTGTTGATCGATCAATTCATAAGGAGGGTACCTCATTTCCTTAAATTGATGTAGTGGATGACAACATGCACCCTACCTTGGTGGCTATGACATTACCATCTCAGAACAAGACTATACCTAGGAAGTATATTTTGACAACTTTGAATTTCAGAACAGTTAAGCATCATGCACCTCTTTATAGTTGGAATACAGAGGGAAGGATACTTCTTTAGCACATGGTGGTTGCTCTGATATTTCTTGCCCCTCATTTAGATTATGTGAAGGATTTGGTGGAACTAAACTTGACCAACCTTATTATGAATGCTCTGCCGAAGAGGAAGAAATATTTTTAGAAACTGATGTAATTGAAAGTGCTACTGATCATGAGGGTTAACGCAAGCTAGAACCACACTTAAAGAAGAATGGACTAACCAAAAATTCAGAAAGGGGAGAATAAAGGGTTCTAGAGAGCTTAAACTTCTTAATCCAATTAAAAAGATATTGCTGAACACAATCACTATCAAGCACCAAGTTAGGTTCACTTATTCTCCTTCTAGAGTTATTAGAGGGTATAAAAACTTTTTTTCAATGTTGTTTTAAGTTCCTCATTTGGAACATTAGGGGCATAACTAAATCTGATGCCTCTATTAGACTTAAGAACTTAATCAGCGTACACAAGTTACCTTTTTCTGCTACTTTGGAGCCTTTGGTGGTTGGGGACAATAATGATAAATACATGGGGAGGTTAGGTAAGTTCCAAGCCTTCACAAATACTAACAACAAAATTTGGCTACTTTTTATTTTTATATCATCACTCTTCTCCATTTCTCAGTGTTGATTCATAAAATTAAACTTCTTCTTCATAGTTATGATCTAAGGCTTGATGGTGTTCATTCTTTTATTTTCTTCTTCTTGTGGATGGGTTTGTCTATCTTCTAAATTGATTAATGATTAGTTCCATTTGCGCTCACTTGAGCAACCTATAACCCCGATTAAAAATGGGTTGGTGGTTTATTTTTTCTTTTTACATTGAAAATTCTAGCAAATGGTATTACCATTTAATGTTCTTTGATTATAATAGTTTCAAATGTCTAGCACATTTCCTTTTCCTTGTTTCCTAAATCCATTACACTCAAATATACTTTTGCAAGGAAGTCCTTGAACCTTCTAGTATTGGGTTTAGTATATTTATGTGTAATTCTTGATAGATTAAGATGTTAATAATTTCAATTTAGTAAGATTCTTAGATCAAATTTGAAGCTCAATAATCTATGTTCTTTGTCGAATTCAAATTAAGAAAAATTCTATAATACTTGTGAAGAGACGAAAATTGTTGGAGTTTTTTTAGTTGAAATGTTTGGTATCCAAAATTTTTATGATTTTATGCTTGGAGGATTTAGATGCATACCAATGTCTTTTGTGTTTACATACGTAACACTAAATTTTTAGGAGGTTTACATACATACATTCAGTGCTTTCGTATTTACATACACACCACTTTACTCCATAAAATATATGCATTCAAATGGTTTAATACTTATGTATTTGAATGTGTAACACATTATTCTATTAAAGCATATTTGTGTAGATTGTCTTGTTTTAACATATTTATATACTTTGCTTAAATTCAAACATAAGTTTGCTGATTTTATTTATTAAATATTGTATTTATACTTAACAAATCATTATAAATTTTCTTTCAGTCCTTAGACTTAAAGTAATTCAGAATGTTGGTCATATGAATGGTAAACACCCGATGATTAAATTGGAAAAAGAAAAAGTTTTTCTTTCCTTTTCTCGAGTAAGTTTTTGTTTGTTGGAAAAGGAAGAAGATTATCTGCCTCATTATTGTACTAAGTGAAAGATGTTTGAACATACTATTAAATATTGTTTTATTGCTAATCCTGCGTTAAGACAACCAAAAGG